GCCGAGCAGGGAGCCCGATGCGGGACTCGATCCCGGGACTCCAGGATCATGACCTGAGCCGAAGGCAGTCGCTTTACCAACTGAGCCACCCAGGCGCCCCAATAGAGTCTTTAATTAAAATATGATTCCTTCCTCACTCCGCAAACTATACCTACTTAGATGCTTATTAGAAACTAGTAAAGAAAATTGGACCTTGACCTGTGCACATCAATTGGAGATACAAGGCAGAGATTGCCTCCTAAGACAATAATGAGCATAAGTCAAAGGCCATCTGTATAGACTATGCACAAACAGATATCTGTTATCTCTTTTCTCATTAGAGGCTGAATAAATGGAAAGAATAAAACAACAGAGCCTGAATAAATAGGAAAAAACATACTAAAGGATAAAGGATAGAAAACACTATCCAGAAGATACAGACTTGCCCTCTGCAAATCACCTGCTGCAAAAACAAAAAAAATAAACAATGTGTTTTGGCATCTGAGGTAGGGTAGAAGACCTAGCCTGGAGAAAGAGAAAGCCAGAATTTGAGAATAGGCTGATACACACACACACACACACACACACACACACAAAGGATGCCATGAGATGCCTGAGAATGAAATCTTTCAAGGAAACTAAAAATACCACAGCAGAATTAAAAACTACCCTGGAGGCTTACAGACCAGGACTGGTATATAGATTATCACACATGTGATATAAAGGACAAACTTAAACTTTCCAGAATGGAGATTAAAATGTCCAAAAATAGGGGCGCCTGGGTGGCTCAGTCCACTAAGTGTCTGCCTTTGGCTCAGATCATGACCCCAGGGTCCTGGGATTGAGCCCTGCATCAGGCTCCCTGGTCAGCGGCAACATTATTCACAATAGCTGAACCGTGGAAGCAACCCAAGTGTCCCTTGACAGATAATAAGCAAAAAAATGATATATACATACAATGGAGTATCATTCAGCCTTAAGAAGGAAGGAAATTCTTGGGGCGCCTGGGTGGCTCAGTCATTAAGCGTCTGCCTTCAGCTCAGGTCATGATCCTGGGTCCTGGGATTGAGCCCTGCATCAGGCT